CGGTACGGGGGCGACACTGAGGGTTGCGATCCGTTGCCGGACACGCAAAAAGACAAAAAAAATAAAAATAAAAATAAAAATAAAAAAAATAAAATAAAATAAAATAAAAATAAGTGATAATAGCCTAAATCTCCAGCAGCTAAGGAATGATTGGGTAAATTATGGTGCATCGGCTTGATGTACTTCCATTAAATGAAAATTATGGGAAGACAAAAGCAAAATGGCAAAGTGTTCCTACACAATTGGAAAAGGCAGGAAAAGATGTATTTGCAGTGTGATTACAAATATGCAGAAAATCCACATGTGTATGGACAAGGTTGGGAAGGGACATGGGTCTAGAGTGGTGGATGGGGACTGAAGGTACACTTCCCTATTGTAAAGCTATTTGTGGCATAAATAAAACTAGTTTTAAAAAATGAATTGTCCCCCATTGGCCAGCCACCAAAGAGAAGAGAAAGGATTGTGCTGTGAATTGGGCATTTTGCCAAGGCGTAGTTTTAGAGCAACCCTTTAGACAAGTGGGGAAGCAAAAGTGTATGTGTCCATCTCTCACTCCCATAGGTGGACAAAGTTTAACTTCCTCTGTCAGATCAATGCAAGGTGTATTCCCAGTGCCTTATTGTTGGGAACACTGAGTGAACGTGCTGAGAGCTCTGCTTTCACCTTGCAGATTCCTGTTTGTATCAGGTGTGACTTCCTTAGACGCTGACTGTGTAGTTACATGGGTTAGCTCAGTTGTTATATGTTTATTGGAGGGCAGTCCAGTTCTCAAGATTTCACAGCAGAAATTATTCTCGTGGTGATATATAAACCATTTCTTCCTTAACTTAGTCGAATAAGCCCTACACCTTATCAAATTAGTTTTCCTTTTCAGTACAATTAAAAGCAAAGTCACTTTTGACTTTCCTCTGTGGACATCCTTAGATGCCGGTTCTTCAGGCATCACACACTGGCTGAGACCTCCTAGTTGTTGCCTTAAATACCTTGCCTCTCAAATGGAGCTTGCCAATTTCTCTCTCACCTTCTGTGCAAGGACTCCCGTGGTAACTAGTTGCCCGATCTCACTGCTCACTTGAGCTGGAGTCCCAGCATCACTTCCAGCTCCCTGTCCTCTAGCACCATGGCAGTCCACCCCTGAAGTGTCCCCCATCCACACAGCCTCTTTCCTATCCAGGCCACTGCGTGGACTTCCCACCTGTGTCTCTCCAGGGCTGTGTTAACCTCTCCAAATGCCACCCACTTGGAAGCACAGAGACGCCCAGAAACCTTCTCAGACTCTCATTACCCAGACAGCAAACATACAACTCCTTATTTGAGCATTTAGGGGCTCCTGCTGTCAGGTTCTACCTTGACTTCCTGCCATATCTTCTGTGCTTTTCTCTCATACAAACCTCTGTGCAGCTTCTGTTCCCGTGTTGCCCTGAGGGTCATACAGGCCTTGCCTAGAATATTCCTCAGATCGTTTGCCCAGACAAGGGAAGCTATTCTTTCTGGATTGGTGACATTAAAAAGGGTTTTTTTTATTGCTATGTACTAAATAACAAGGGCACGATATTACACATGGAGTAGGAACTTGGGCACCAAATTGGGCTTCTCTGTCTCTCTTATTTGACAAAAGTATATATTGTTGGGGAGATGGGGCAGAATTTTGAAAGTAGCTCATTTACAGCATTAGTCATCTTTAAAATAAAGCAAAGTGGAAAAGAGCCTTATCTATGGAAGTAGTTTGTTTCTGTCTGCACACAACTGAAATACCATTTGTGCAGAGAGAGAGAGTGAGCGTGAGTGAGTGCAGGCGCAGCCTGACATTAACACGGGAGGAGGCGGACAATGAGCGTCTTGGTGGTGGTTGCAGTTTCTGTTTTCTTTACGTCTTTTATCCTCAAGTTGCAAACTCCTCCTCATTCAGTTCCTTAAAAAATGTAATACTTAGTGAATTTTCTTCAAATGCCCCCGCCAAGACATTATTGAGGCTTCTTTTTTCTTCATAGCAACAAATGGCAGAGAATTGTGTTTTTTGAGTTTTTGAGAAGCATTGCTACTATAACTATCCAATAGAAGCATAACCAAGAATCGGGTTTTTATATTCTGGAAATAAAAATATGAAATTAAATGTCTTCATTTATATCAGCTCTAAAAATGTATTTGTTCTATCCAAGTGTTTCTTTAGCAGTTCTACCAAGAAAATATGGGGGTGGGGGAGTAGGTTATGTAAAATTGATCTTTTAATAATGGTGTAAGGTATCTAGCATATTCTCCTTTATTACAATTAACTTTTATCCAGCCTGTCCCAGAGAGGAGTAGAAAGAATCATTTTCAAAATATCTGGAGAATAGCTATGAAAGGAATAACAGAATATAAACCTTTTAATATGTGTGTAAAAGGCAGTGTTTGTGTCACGAAGACATTTTTCTAAATTCATTAAAATATTTTGAGATAATTCTTTGAGCAATCAGATTTGTTATGTACTTAAGAGAAACAAAATAAGAGTAGTCTAGATTTAGGAGTAATCTACTTAAAATGCATATTATTCCTCCCTATATTTGAATAATTTGTCCAAAACATAATTCGTTCATACAGGATTTTGCCTGTTCAGATCTAAGTGGGAATCAGTAGTTTCTTTGTTTGTTACTATGGCAACGAGTCAGCCTATCCTGAATAGTTCTTAGATCATACCGAGCAATGCTCCCATCTCCGTGTAACTTCCTCACTGAGCAAGCCGGGACTGACTTCACCCTGCTGCCAGCTCTTGCCTCCTTGGAGCCCAGTGCCATGCAGGTGCGGGACTCACCCCACTGGCCCTCAGCCATGCATTTCCTCAGTTCCTTTCTCCAGGGCCGCCGGCACTCCACCTCGGATGCGGTTGTGCAACTGCAACAGGCCCGGCACAGGTCTGGCCCAGCCGCGAAGCTGCTGTCCTCATCCTCTTTCCAGGTGATGGTGGCTGTGTCCTCCGTCAGCCATGCCGAGGGAAACCCAACTTTACCGGAGAGAAAAAGTAAAGCTCTCTTTCTTCCTATAATTTGCCACACCTTTGTACTTAAATTTAGGGAATGTGAGTAGGCTGTGTTGTGCTTATTCCCTTTTAAATATTGACAGTCAATTCTGTGTTATATTTTTTACTGTCAGTTATGCTAAGAATTTTAGTGGATATGTAAGATGAGATAAAATTACCAAATGTTTTGTGTTTTTTCATTAAAAATGCAGTTTTTGAATTAAACTCATCCACTTGTAAAAGATCTGCTTTTACACTTTCTTCTTCTTCATTACCAATATGATGCGTAAACATTATTATATGTGAAAGCTTTTTTTTTTTTAATATTAAGAGAGAGTGCATGTAGATGAAAAGGAAACAGTTTTATTTTCTTGACTTGATTAAGGGGATTTAACATCAACTTGTCCTCTACTATGCTGAGATAAAATGGAAGCTGTTTCCCATGTTACTGTTCCATTTGGAGAATGGAATTTTGAATCTTCCCTTCCTTGTATGTTCTAGGAAATGCAGGACGTCCAACACCAAAGTACACAAAAGTAGGCGAGCGCTTACGGCATGTCATTCCCGGGCATGTGGCGTGTTCCATGGCGTGTGGTGGCAGAGCATGCAAGTATGAGAACCCAGCCCGCTGGAGCGAGCAGGAGCAAGCCATCAAGGGGGTCTACTCATCCTGGTAAATGGTCCTGGTGGTCTCTGCAGCTGGGTGGGGTAAAGGAAGGAAGACGTGTGTGAGCCCGAGGCAGGAGCTATGCAAGGAGCAGTGTGGGGCCTGGAAGTCAGGACTTCGCCTCTGTCCTTCTCTGCCCTGTACCAACTGTGTGAGCTCAGCCTAGCTAACCTCAGCTTCCTCATCTGTCAAATAGAAGAAAACCAGAACCATGGGGGTTGTTTTAATTAAGTGAAATGATGAATGTAAAATATCGTAAGGAAATGGGTGATTAGATAGCTCTTAAATTTCAGAAACTGCTAGAAATAAGAAAAATGCTCGGCTGTAAGTCTGAGAAAATTGTAAGGTACACATGTAGTTTTTCAGCTTCATACAAACAAGCTATAGCGTCACTTTTATGTTGTTACTATATTCTGTATGAAAGGACACATTTTCACACAAACATACTGTGGTCTGCCTTCATAGAAGTGGTACAGGTATTCAGCTCAGTAGACAGACATAAGATGCTTGCATTATTTACGGTGTGGAAGTACAATTAATATCATTCTTGAATCATACTGCTTTTTATTAGTAACAGTAAACTAGTCAGGTATACCTTTAAATCAAATCATATTTGAAACACACTAGAGGAATTCACTGTTTAAAGAATTCTAGTAGTAAATTATTTTATAGAGCAAGAAACCATTTTTAAAGGAGATACTTGCCAGCCAGCTTATCTAACTTGCAATGTGTACTTCTTTGTATTAAATTTTCTGGGCACATCTGCAGTGGTGCAATCTGGGGTCCACTGCCATGAGTGCTCTCCACAGATCATATTCTGGTCTTTCACTATTACACGAGTGGTATAAAGAAGCAAACATTATTCCTGAGGCATAGACAAGAAATTTTCTGATAATGTAGCTTAAGGTCACATTGATATTTTTGCTTTACTGTTGACTAAACCACATGAGTCTTTTTCATGTCTGCCGCCTTCAAGTTACATCTCCCCTCTTATACTAAGTACTATTAAATTTGGGGAGTCCTAAACCTTGGAGTCCATGTTAAATTTCATGCTTTGTTCCAGAGGGGGAGATGTCCTTCTGGATCCTGCCCTATTAATCTAATGTCTCTGTTATTCCTCTGAGATTCATGGGACCCACAACTTCCAATAGACTATCTCATGTATCTTTCACCAGGCCACTGATGAGAAATTAGAGCAGAACAGAATGAAGCCAGAGCTCAAAGACCTAACGATAGCGACACCATTTATTGGGCCTGTGTCTACTCATTCATTCCATAAACATCCATTTGGCTATGGGCTAGGCTGTCAACTTATTCTCTCATCTTCCTAAAACTCTTGTGAGTTCTTAGTGCCATTTAGAAAAGAATTGAATTCCAGAGAGATTAATTCATAGAAAGTAGAAAAGCCAGCATTTGAAACGAGGCCTGATTGACTCCAGAGCCCATATTTTTTGCTAAATTACAATGATTCAGCGTTTATTCATAACCACGTGCCAGGATTTGAGCTAAAGACTTTACATCCATATTGTATTGAATTCTCATATCTACCCTTTGAGGCAGGCCTTATTATCCCCATTTAACACCTTAGATAACTGAGGTTCATATAGCTGAGTAACTAAAAATGCCTCCCAGTTGGCCTTCCTTATTTAGTTACTAAGCATTGGATAACTAATCCAGACTGTTAATTTTACCACAGCTGAGGTTTCTCCATCATGTCCTCTAGAATCTCTTGAGAGTCCTTTAAAACAGTTTGCTGGAATCCACAGATACTTTATGTCCTGGAATTTTTTCCAGGGATTTAAGAAGCCGGGATTGCGGGCCGGCCCGGTGGCGCACTGCTACAGTGCGCTGCTTGGGAAGCGCGGCGGCGCTCCCGCCGAGGGTTCGGATCCCATGTGCAGACCGGCGGCTCACTGGCTGAGCGAGGAGCGGGGGCAACACCGAGGGTTGCGATCCCGTTGCCGGTTCCGGTCCAGTACGGGCGTGACACTGAGGGTTGCAATCCGTTGCCGGTCACGAAAAAAGACAAAAAGACAAAAAAAAAAAAAAAAGAAGCCGGGATTGCTTAGAGCTCTAATCATGATGCAAAATTGAAGCCAAATTTGTATGAGCATATTCTTTACAGAGGTATTGAAATTATAGAAAACTCATCTCTCAGTCCTTGGAGTGGGGACATTCTATGTTTTGAGCATCTCACCAGTCCCTCCTCCCATCTGCAGGGTCACTGATAACATCCTGGCCATGGCTCGGCCATCCTCTGAGCTCCTTGAGAGATACCACATCATCGAGCAGTTCCTCAGGTAAATGCTGCATCATTCACACACACTAGTAAGCAAACTGTCGTGTTTTCTCTTTCATTGCTTCTGCCTTTGAGTGGACAAAAGCTTTCATTTTAATAATAGGCAATGAAGAGCTTATTTCAAATAAGAAATTAAGGTTATGAGAGTAATTAATAATGTTTTATTACGGCCAAAAATGGTTAATTTTTTTAAAAAATGCTAGCTCCCAATATGACTGATTGCTCTTTTTCCTTTAAGCCATGGCATAAAAACAATAATCAACCTGCAGCGCCCTGGTGAGCATGCTAGCTGTGGGAACCCTCTGGAACAAGAAAGTGGCTTCACTTACCTTCCTGAAGCTTTCATGGAGGCTGGCAGTAAGTTCCTTCCCACCCTCCTCTCCTTGAATTATCAAGGACAGTACTCAGAGATCTTTATTGACTGGGATCTTAGGTTAAAAAAGTGATGGAAATAAATACCTGCTACATTATAATAAGGTTCATAGAAAATGAAAATATGCTAACTTGGACTTTAAATAATGCTGCCATTCTTCTTTAGTATTGCTGCTGAAAGCTCAGAGTTTCTTTTTTTCTGTGAAAGTGATATTGGGAGGAGACCCTGTAATAATAATGGTTAACATTAGGTGATGCCCACAGTATGCCAGACACTATTATCCCATTTCATCCTTAAAGCAGTTGTGTAACATATTGTTGTTATTTTTATTTTATACATGAGGCCATAGATGCTTAAAGAGTGACTGACTTGCCCGAGATCACAAAGCTTAAAAATGGTAGTCAGGACTGGAACCTGGACATTCCTGCTTTTAGTGCTGCTAGCCCCACCCCTGCAGGCATGCCCAGGGAGTCTTCTTGTGACAGTCCCAGAGGCTCCTTAGTTGCAGGAGCCTTTGGGATGAAATCCACTCAATATGTGCCATGCAAACCAGGCTAGAAAGGATAAACGTGTACAATCTTGGAACTTGTTTTTAAGAAGTTTGTGTCGAGCTTTTTTTTTTACGCTAGGTAGAAAACATATATATATATACTGTCTTTAGCCTTCTGTCAGCCATTTAGACATTTTTCCACGCTTAAACAAGAGTGTATGCTTTTCTTCTTTAGCTGAGTAACTTTAGTGTGGATCATTGTCTTCATTAATTTATAATTCTACTTTTCCATAATTTTTTCTGGCTTAGTTTCAGTAGGAACTGTCTCAGATAATATAGGATATGCTTTGTGAGACATGTTTAACAATAAACTTACTGGGAATGTAAAAAGCCTATTATTTTAGGCCTGTATATCCAGTGAGATCTACATGGCTTACGGCTTTATACTTTCCATGAATTCACTCGATTCCTTCAAATGTCTTTGCAAATATTTTTTCTGTATATTGATTTTTTTTTTCCTTTTCTCTTTTTTATGGCCTAGTTTATTTCTACAATTTTGGATGGAAGGATTACGGTGTAGCATCTCTTACCACCCTCTTAGATATGGTTAAGGTGATGACATTTGCCTTACAAGAAGGAAAAGTAGCTGTTCATTGCCATGCAGGACTTGGCCGAACAGGTAAATTCTAGGAGCTGGTTTTATTTTCTTGTAGGCATATTTAAACATATAAGAAATAAAACTTCCTAATTCTAAGGATAAATCTTTTTCAGAATCTGTTCAAAGCTCTACAGTCAAGTGGAAGCAAATAAAAGATAATTGAGAGATCTTAAACAGTAATAATGACCACATGTTGGTGAGAATATTTTTGAACGACTTAGGGCTGAAAGCTCATCATATTTAGTAAACAGATGAGTTTCTAAAGCTAGGTAAATGACCTTTCTGTTTTCCGATTTTCCTATTTACATGAAAAAAAATCAACACCTCATTTTAATACATAATATCTTCTAAAAAATGAAATTTTCCTTAACCAAAATAACAGTGAAAATAGCAAGCATTGTTTAACCTATTATGTTCTAAGCATTTTACATTTGCTGCCTTTTAAAATCTTTAGCAACAATGTGAGTCAAAGAAACTGCAGTTTGAGAGAGGTTAAGTAATTGGCTACATTTAATAAGTGGCAGGGCGGAGATTTAAATCTAAGACTGTCTGACTCCAAAGCTCATGTGCTTTCTACTTTTGGGGGTGTAAGGATTTTGTTTGCAAAGGAGAGTCTATCTGAGCCTAGAATTCTATATAAAAATCAGTGATTTTACTTAAAAATTCAGCAGAATCTCATTACAGTGCTGGTATTAGGGCAAAAATAAAGGTCTCAGGGTTGAAATCTTCATCGTCATCTGGTCTGACTAAATACCTGCAACTTGACTTCATCCACAGTGAACCTGTACACCTGCCAGGGGATCTCCCACCTGCCTGGGAGCATCCTCAGGGATGGGACTCAGCTCTGCTTGAGATCATTAGTTCTTAGGATCAAGCTGAAATCTCACTGTTTCCTGGGCATTGCACATGATAGCTCTGCTGATATTTTATACTTACACTTAAAGATCTGCTATTCCTAGTGAGAAAGATATGTGGTACCCTACTATGAACTGGTGAACATTCAGTTTCCAGAGGTTCTGATTTTCATGTGCAACAGGATGTTCACAAACTTGTGAATTACATGGGTGTCTTTGATTTGCCTTTTACTTTAATATTAATTGGCTATTATATTTGAACTAATTGATCAGTTATTACCTTTTCATTAGTTACTCATTTTAATTAGATGTTAATTAATAAGAATATATATTGTTTACACTATTAAGGCTGGCTTCCTTAATATTATTACTTGCTTATGGAAAAATATCACAGTGGGGAGAAAAATACTTACATTAATGTAGACATAAGTCTGGAAGAATTGTCAGGAAGTAAAGTAGGCTATGAACATGAATAATCCCCCAAAGAAAAAACTTACCTAGTAGAGAGGTTGCCAGGCTGGAATGTGCCAGCATTGCAAAAATGGCAGGGTTGGCAAGTTCCAAGCACAAAGTGGGTGGATAGATTTGATGGAAATTTTCAAGAGTTGTTGAGAGTGGAAAATAGAACTAAGATGGGCTTTCTTCCATGTTGGAGTTGGGTAGAAGGACAGGGGAGTAAACGACTCAGTGCATGCAGTCATCCTGCACCACACTCACTCACCTACACTGTGCCACTGCTTGTGCCAGCCCATCTCTGGGGTACAGACAGGACTCAGTCATAGGGAGGGAGGGCCATGTAGACACGTAGATAGATGTAGTTCTGCACAATAAGGGGAGTGCAATAATAACCATCTGCGTAAAAGTTACAAAGTTGTCATTATAATTGTCCTTAAAGTGTGCCTCTGTTTATATGATTTCGTAGTACATATTCACGTTTTAAATTATGAAAGGGCCGAGCCCGTGGT